ACCCTCGGGAATCGCCCGACTTCGGGCGCATCGTGGACGAGAAGGAATTCCAGCGGCTGCGGGCGCTGCTGCGCAGCGGGAGGGTGGCCATCGGCGGGCAGGCGGAGGAGGAGGACCTGTACATCGGTGAGGACGTGGGGCTGGGCGATGCTGGGAGCCCCTGTGCTGGGGCACCGGGTGATGTGGTGCCGTAACCCTTCTCCACAGCTCCCACGGTGCTGGCGGACGTGCTGCCCTCGGATCCCATCATGCAGGAGGAGATCTTCGGGCCCGTCCTGCCCATCGTCGTCGTGGCCAGCATGGATGAAGCCATTGACTTCATCAACGAGAGGCCGCGGCCGTTGGCCGTCTACGCCTTCTCCAGTGATTGCAAGGTGTGTGGAGGGCATGGAACAGGAAAGGGGGGGTGAGGAAGTAGGGCGTTAGGGCTTGTGCCCACCTCACTGAAGCCCCAGGGCATGCTCTGAGGGGGCTTTTGAGCCCTGCTCTGAGCACATGAGACTGGTGGATGAGGTGGGTGATGATCAGGTGAGACCCCCACTCTGGAGCGCTGTGTTCAGCTCTGGGGCAGCAGCACAAGAAGGATGTGGAGCTGTTGGAGAGGGGCCAGAGGTATCCATGGGGATGCTGAGAGGGCTGGAGCAGCTCTGCTCTGGAGCCAGGCTGAGAGAGCTGGGCTGGGGCAGCCTGGACAAGAGAAGGCTCCTGAAGGGGAGACCTGAGAGCAGCTCCAGTGCCTGAAGGGGCTGCAGGGAACCTGGAGAGGGGCTTGGGACAAGGGCCTGTAAGGACAGGCCAAGGGGAATGGCTTGAACCTGCCCGAGGGGAGACTGAGCTGAGCTCTTAGGCAGAAGCTCTTCCCTGGGAGGGTGCTGAGGCGCTGGCACAGGGTGCCCAGAGAAGCTGTGGCTGCCCCATCCCTGGCAGTGCTCAAGGCCAGGTTGGACACAGGGGCTTGGAGCAAGCTGCTCCAGTGGAAGGGGTTGGGGCTGGAGCCGGAGGAGCTTTAAGGTCCAAGCGTTGCCGGTGGAACCAAGGTGTGAGACCCACGTCCGCCTCCTCTGCCCCCCTCCCAGGTGGTGGCCCAGGTCCTGGAGCGCACGAGCAGCGGAGGCTTCTGTGGCAATGACACCCTGACACACATGACACTGACCTCGCTGCCCTTCGGTGGCATCGGTAGGTGCAAACCCCAACCCTGCCTGTCCCTGGCCACCGGGAGCCTGAACCGCGCTAGTGAGGAAGGGTCCTGGTGGCCCCAGAGGTCCGTGGTGTGCAGGAAACCCCTTCTGCACCTCTAGGAGTTCACCAGCAGCCCTTGGCTTCACTGCACAAGGGCTGAGCTCTCTGGCTTTGCACTGTGAGCTTCTCCTCTCCATGTTTGCTGTCCCAGCCACCACATTCCCTGTGTGTGTGCAGATGTTCCGTATAAAAGGTTGGGAATTCTCTACCCCTTGGTTGTTTCCCTGCTATTTCTGAGCAGTGTGGGGCACTGTGGGTGAGTTTTGTGCCAGGGTTGGGCTCCTGCCTTGCTCAAGTGAGAGGGAAGCGTTGCTCCTTTTGGTCTAGCCTCACTATGGAGCACATCAGCTCGTTGTGCTCTTGGATAGGTGATGGCTAAGTGGATGGCTCTTCCTCCTCCAGCCATCCTGGTGCTGGATTGGGGCCCTCAGCATCCCTCAGGAGCAGACTTGTGCCTTCATTCTGCCTTTTAGGACTAAACAGTGCGGGCAAAACTCTTGTAACCATCTGGAGAACCTTCTTATGGTGCCTTGGGGATGGGCAAGACAAAGAGTTTGTGGTCTCCAGGGGCAACAACAGTTGTATTCTCAGGTGAAACGTGAGGTCTGCTCTGCCCTGGGCCCTGCCTGGTGCATTATCCCCGGAAAACAGGAATCCTCTCCCAAAACTTTCCCAACCTCCTGGTCTCCAGAGTGTCCTCACCTCAGTCTGCTGCTGCCTGTGCTCAGCAGCTTGCATCAGACATAATGGGACACCACAAAGGCCAGCCACAATTAATTCCTCACCTGCCTGTGGCTCAGGAACAATCCTTGGTGGTTCCCGTTCCAGAACTTATCTTTATGGAAGTGATTCAGCCAAACTACCTGGGATGAGGAGGTGAAGCCATTCCATAGCAGGGCCTGAGCTCATCACCCGGCTGAGATGGCATTTGTCAAAGCTTCCACACCACAGCAGTCATTGGGCTTTTAACCACCCTGTGCAGCCTCAGGATGAAACCAGCCCCGGCAACTGGGAGAACTGGTGGTGATAACGGGGGCTCCCAGTTGGAAGTACTCTGGGAAGAAGCTGAGCTTCATAGGGGCCACACTGGTAGCTCCTCACCATGGGTAGAGAGAGGAGATTGAGAGCAGCCCAAGGAGAAGGACTTGGGGGTGTTGGTTGATGAGAAAATGAACATGAGCCGGTTTCAGTGTGAGCTCACAGCCCAGAAACCAACCGTGTCCTGGGCTGCATCCAAAGCAGCGTGACCAGCAGGTCCAAGGAGGTGATCCTGCCCCTCTGCTCTGCTCTCGTGAGACCTCACCTGGAGCATTGTGTGCAGTTCTGGGGTCCTCAACATAAAAAGGACATGGAACTGTTGGAACAAGTCCAGAGGAGGCCACGAGGATGCTCAGGGGCTGGAGCACCTCCTGTATGGAGACAGGCTGAGGAAGCTGGGGCTGTTCAGCCTGGAGAAGAGAAGGCTGCGGGGAGACCTCAGAGCAGCTTCCAGTGTCTGAAGGGGGCCTATAGGGATGCTGGGGAGGGACTCTTCATTAGGGACTGCAGTGACAGGACAAGGGGTAACGGGTTCAAACTGAAACAGGGGAAGTTTAGGTTGGATCTAAGGAGGAAATTCTTTCCTGTGAGGGTGGTGAGGCACTGGAATGGGTTGCCCAGGGAGGTTGTGAATGCTCCATCCCTGGCAGTGTTCAAGGCCAGGTTGGACAGAGCCTTGGGTGCCATGGTTTAGTGTGAGGTGTCCCTGCCCATGGCAGGGGGTTGGAACTGGATGATCTTAAGGTCCTTCCCAACCCAACCCGTTCCTTGATTCTATGATTGAGGAGCTGTAGAGCTGGAAAAGGCCAAGGGAAAGGCGAGGTCTCCATCGCCACATCCCCGCTTCCAGGAGCAAAGCTTTCCCTGCGTCGCGCTTGGAGCAGGCAGGAGCAGAGCCCCGGGGCAGGTCTGGACCTGTGCTCTGTGTTCCAGGCTGCAGCGGGCTGGGCAAGTACCACGGCAAGTTCACCTTCGACACCTTCAGCCACCAGCGCGGGTGCCTGCACCGCAACATGGGCCTGGAGGCCCTCAACGCCCTGCGCTACCCCCCCTACAGCCAGCAGAAGCTGGGCTTCCTCACGGCCGCCTTCGAGGTGAAGCGCAAGGGCACCTGCACCCTGCTCTGAGGCTGCTCTGCACCCTCCTGCGGTCAGGATGGGGACGCCTCGCGGCGCCGCCGGTGTCCTCCTCTCCTCCCTTTCCACCTCCTTGGCCTTGGGCAGCGGGATGGGCGCCTCGTCCTGCACCCGGCGGGCCTCCACGGTGGACTCTGCTCTGCATCCTCGGCGTGGACACGTGATGGAGGGGCCAAAAGGTCTTCTTTTGAGCCCAAACGTCCCTTCCCAGGAAGGAAATGGTCCCCAGGAGGATGAGGACCAGCAGTTCACCCCATCCCCTCTTGGACGGGCCTCTCCTGGATGGACCTCTCAGGAGGATGAGGACCAGCAGTTCACCCCATCCCCTCTTGGACGGGCCTCTCCTGGATGGACCTCTCGGGAGAATGAGGACCAGCAGTTCACCCCATCCCCTCTTGGACGGGCCTCTCCTGGATGGACCTCTCGGGAGGATGAGGACCAGCAGTTCACCCCATCCCCTCTTGGACGGGCCTCTCCTGGATGCACCTCTCGGGAGGATGAGGACCAGCAGTTCACCCCATCCCCTCTTGGACGGGCCTCTCCTGGATCAACCTCTCTCTGCCTTCTCTCAGGGCTGGCTGCTGCTTTCCTGCTCTGTGTAACCTTGCCTGTAGTAAAGGCAAGTCTTTACCTTGCCTGTAGTAAAGACTTTGCATTGAGCTCTGCTGCCTGGCCTCCCCTTGCTTCATCACCCAGCTTTGGGGCAGGAATCCATCAGCTGAGCCCCAGAGATGGGTGCTCAGAGCCCCAGTGTCCCCATCCATCACACAGACACCCGCAGGCACAGCATCGCACCCTGCTGAGCTCCATCAGCCCCTGTGCTGGGCACTGGGGAGGCTGCACCTCGAATCCTGTGCTCAGCTCTGGGCCCCTCACTGCAAGAGAGACCTTGAGGTGCTGGAGCGGGGCCAGAGAAGGGAACGGAGCTGGAGCAGGGCCTGGAGCCCAAGTGTGATGGGGAAGGGCTGAGGGAGCTGGGGGGTTCAGTGTGGAGAAGAGAAGGCTCAGGGGGGACCTGATGGCTGCCTCCAAGTGCCTGAGAGGAGGATGGAGCCAGGAGGGGCTGGGCTCTGCTCCCAAGGAACAAGGGATGGGACAAGAGGAAACGGCCTCAAGCTGCACCAGGGCAGGTTTAGATGGAGCTGAGGAACAATTCCTGCCCCAGAGGGTGCTCAGGCATTGGAACAGGCTGCCCAGGGCAGGGCTGCAGGCACCGGCCCTGGGGGTGCTTAGAGGATGTGTGGATGTGGCTCTTGGGGCCATGGGTCAGTGGTGGCCTTGGCAGCGCTGGGCAGTGGTTGGACTGGATGATCCTAAAGCTCTTTCCCAACGTGGCTGACTCCATGGCTCCACGACCATCCCATACCCACTGTGGTGGCTGCTGTCGGGGTGCTCCAGGGATGGATCTGGGGGCACGGTTTGCATGCCAAGTGCTTGGGGCTGGAGCGGAGCCAGCGCTGAGGTGCGGTGGGGCAGAGGAGGAAGCGGGCAGCCTCTCTCCGCAGGCTGTACCAGCCCCCAAGGCAGCAGCCAGCCTGCCCCACACCTCAGCAGGGTCCTGGCACCCCTCCTCCGGGCAGAGCACCCCGTTAGTTACCTGCGGTGGGGAGCTTGTGCTTTCCATCCCTTGGAATCCTTCGCTGTGAAGCTCCAGCCCCGTCCTGCTCCCTTGGGATCATGGAAACCAGGAGCATCTTCCCAGAGCCTGGCACCCAGCAGCTCCCGGGCAGTGGCACTGGGAATGCTCCTGAGGATGAGGATGGTGGTGATGGGAAGGGGAGCATCGATGGCAATGGCGTGAGGTAAGAGAATGAGGCTGGCATGGAGGGGAGGCTGACGGTGCTTGGTGCTCTGCCATCACCCCAGGGTGCTGTTTGGTGCTGCTGTGGGGTGATGCGGAGCTGGGTGCTGATGAAGGGTGCTGGGGGACAGGTTTGGGGTCCAGGGGCCACCCCATCCCAGCAGCTCCCGGGGCTGGGAATGTTCCTGAGGAGGATGAGGGTGGTGATGGGAAGGGGAGCATGGATGGTGATGGGAGAGCGTGAGGCTGGGATGAATGGGAGTGGGAGGGGTCTGGGTGCTCTGCCCTCACCCCGGGGTGCTGTTTGGTGCTGGGTTGGGGTGATGAGGAGCTGGGTGCTGATGAAGGGTGCTGGGGGACAGGTTTGGGGTCCATGGACCAAGGGATGAGAGAAGGGAACGCTGGGATCAGTGCCATGGAGGGGGCACAGGGGGGACTCCCTGCCCCATCCCTGGGGTCTGTGGGGCTCCCGTTTGGGGCGCTGTGGGGGGACGACACATGGGGCTGCGATGGGCTCGGGGTCCCTCTGACAGCCCCGTGCGTGCAGCGGGAACCCCTATGCGGGGCTGGTGGCCCTGCTGCGGGCAGCCTGGCTCTCGGGGAAGACGCGGCCCATGGAGTACCGGGTGGCGCAGCTGGAGGCCCTGGGCCGCTTCCTGGAGGACAAGAAGCAGGAGATCCTGGAGGCCACGGCCCTGGACGTGGGCAAGGTGAGGGGAAGGGGGGAGCCGGGAATGGGGGACCAGAGGCTGGAGGTGCCGCGGGGCTGCGGGCGGGCAGGGGGTGGGATGGGGCTTGGAGCATCCTGCTCCGGTGGAAGGTGTCCGGGCGCACGCAGGGGTTGGAGCTGGAGGAGCTTTAAGCTCCCTTCATGCCCAAGCCCCTGTGGGTCTGGCGGGAGCATCCCCCTGCCTGTGCTCCTCCACCCCGTTCCTTCCTGGGCACCATTGGATGCCCCCTGCAGGCTCCCGGGCCGCTGGGCTCTGCTTCCTCTTCTTTGCACCCTGCCGTGAGCTCCCGGGCGCCTCCGCTCTGCTTCCCCTTGGAAAGCCCCGTGTGGGCTCTGCCTTGGCTTGGTTGGCATCGCCTGCCCCATCCACCTGCAGTGGTGATGGATGTCAGCAGTGGTGATGGATGTCAGCAGTGGTGATGGATGTCACCAGTGGTGATGGATGTCAGCAGTGGTGATGGATGTCACTGCAGTGGTGATGGATGTCAGCAGTGGTGATGGATGTCAGCAGTGCTGATGGATGTCAGTGCAGTGGTGATGGATGTCAGCAGTGGTGATGGATGTCAGCAGTGGTGATGGATGTCAGTGCAGTGGTGATGGATGTCACCAGTGGTGATGGATGTCAGCAGTGCTGATGGATGTCACTGCAGTGGTGATGGATGTCAGCAGTGGTGATGGATGTCAGCAGTGGTGATGGATGTCACTGCAGGGGTGATGGATGTCAGCAGTGGTGATGGATGTCAGCAGTGGTGATGGATGTCACTGCAGGGGTGATGGATGTCAGCAGTGGTGATGGATGTCAGCAGTGGTGATGGATGTCACTGCAGGGGTGATGGATGTCAGCAATGGTGATGGATGTCAGCAGTGGTGATGGATGTCAGCAGTGGTGATGGATGTCAGCAGTGGTGATGGATGTCACTGCAGTGCTGATGGATGTCAGCAGTGGTGATGGATGTCACTGCAGTGCTGATGGATGTCAGCAGTGGTGATGGATGTCAGTGCAGTGGTGATGGATGTCAGCAGTGGTGATGGATGTCACCAGTGGTGATGGATGTCAGCAGTGGTGATGGATGTCAGCAGTGGTGATGGATGTCAGCAGTGGTGATGGATGTCAGCAGTGGTGATGGATGTCACCAGTGGTGATGGATGTCAGCAGTGGTGATGGATGTCAGCAGGGGTGATGGATGTCAGCAGGGGTGATGGATGTCAGCAGGGGTGATGGATGTCACCAGTGGTGATGGATGTCAGCAGTGGTGATGGATGTCAGCAGGGGTGATGGATGTCACCAGTGGTGATGGATGTCAGCAGTGGTGATGGATGTCACTGCAGTGGTGATGGATGTCAGCAGTGGTGATGGATGTCAGCAGGGGTGATGGATGTCAGCAGGGGTGATGGATGTCACCAGTGGTGATGGATGTCAGCAGTGGTGATGGATGTCAGCAGGGGTGATGGATGTCACCAGTGGTGATGGATGTCACCAGTGGTGATGGATGTCAGCAGTGGTGATGGATGTCACCAGTGGTGATGGATGTCAGCAGTGGTGATGGATGTCACTGCAGTGGTGATGGATGTCAGCAGTGGTGATGGATGTCAGCAGTGGTGATGGATGTCAGTGCAGTGGTGATGGATGTCAGCAGTGGTGATGGATGTCAGCAGTGGTGATGGATGTCAGCAGTGGTGATGGATGTCAGTGCAGTGGTGATGGATGTCACCAGTGGTGATGGATGTCACCAGTGGTGATGGATGCCCTTCACATCAGCCGCAGTGCTTCCCCCTCGGCCCCAGGTTCCCTTTTCCTTGGAAGAGGCACCACCGTGCTGTTCCCCTCCTGCTGCCTCCCCCCCGGAGTAGCCGCCCTGCTTCTTCCACCTCCCTCCTCCTGATGCTGAGCCATGGTCCTGCTCTGCTCCCCAGCTCCTCCTTCCTGCAGGCTCCCCCTCCACAAGGCAGGGGTTGGAGCTGGGTGAGCTTTGAGGCCCCTTCCACCCCAAACCAGTCCACGATTCCATGAGCATCCCTTGCGCAGGCGTCCTTTGCTTCCTGCGCTCCCTCCTGCAGCCTCAGCTGTGGATCTTCTCCGGGCTTCCTCAGCTCCCTCTGCCCAAACGCCTACGGAACAGGCCCCAAAAGCTGGCTATTCCCTTTGCCACCCCGTTTCCTCCCAAGTCGTGCCTCCTGGGTGGTGGGTATCCCTCGGGACCGGCTGGTTTGAGCCTTCAGGGGTGTATATAGGGATCATGTGTATATAGGGATCATGTGTATATAGGGATCATGTGTATATAGGGATAAGGCGTATATACGGGTAAGGTGTATATGGGGATAAGGCGTATATAGGGAAAAGGTGTATGTAGGGATAAGGTATATATGGGGATAATGTGTATATAGGGATAAGGTATATATGGGGATACGGTGTATATAGGGAAAAAGTATATATGGGGGGGATAAGGGGGTAAGGTCTATATAAGGTCTATATAGGGATAAGGTCTATATAGGGTTAAGGTGTATATAGGGATAAGGTCTGTATATGGATAAGGTGTATATAGGGATAAGGACTATTTAGGGATAAGGTGTATATAGGGATAAGGTATATATATAGGGATAAGGTGTATATAGGGATAAGGTGTATATAGGGAAAAGGTATATATAGGGATAAGGTGTATATAGGGATAAGGTCTATATAGGGTTAAAGTGTATATGAGGATAAGGTCTATATAGGGATAAGGTACATATATAGGGATAAGGTGTATATAGGGATAAGGTCTATATAGGGTTAACGTGTATATGGGGATAAGGTCTATATAGGGATAAGGTCTATATAGGGATTAGGTATATATATAGGGATAAGGTGTATATAGGGAAAAAGTATATATAGGAGTAAGGTGTATATAAGGATAAGGTCTATATAGGGTTAATGTGTATATAGGGATAAGGTGTATATAGGGATAAGGTCTATATAGGGATAAGGTGTATATAGGGAAAAGGTATATATAGGGGTAAGGTGTATATAGGGATAAGGTCTATATAGGGTTAAAGTGTATATAGGGATAAGGTCTATATAGGGTTAAAGTGTTTATAGGGATAAAGTCTATATAGGGATAAGGTATATATATAGGGATAAGGTGTATATAGGGAAAAAGTATGTATAGGGATAAGGTGTTTATAGGGATAAGGTGTATATAGGGATAAGGTGTATATAGGGATAAAGTGTATATAGGAATAAGGTGTATATAGGGATAAGGTCTATATAGGGATAAGGTATATATATAGGGATAAGGTGTATGTAGGGAAAAATTATGTATAGGGATAAAGTGTATACAGGGATAAGGTGTATATAGGGATAAGGTGCATATAGGGATAAGGTGTATATATAGGGATAAGGTATGTATATAGGGATACGGTCTATATAGGGATAAGGTATGTATATAGGGATAAGGTATATATGGGGATAAGGTCTATATAGGGATAATGGCTCCTTGTCCTCAGCCCCCCTTCGAAGCCGAACTGGCCGAGATCCTCCTGTGCAAGAACGAGCTGCACGCGACCCTGAACAACCTGAGCCAGTGGATGAAGGACGAGCCCGTGGAGAGGAACCTGGTGAGAGCAGGGCGAGGATGGGGCCAGGACCCGCGCCCTGCGCAGAGCTGGGTGCAATGGGGCGCGGGGACAGGGGCCCGCAGCGAGGAGATGGGGCCCTCACGGGGTGGCTGTCCCCCAGGCCACGCGGCTGGACTCTGCCTTCATCCGCAAGGAGCCCTATGGCGTGGTGCTCATCATGGGGCCGTGGTGCTGCCCCGTCAGCTTCCTCCTGGGGCCTCTCATTGGGGCCGTCGCTGCTGGTGAGCTGAGCATCCAGGCTGGGGTCCCCAAGGGCTGGTTGGCACCCGGTCACTGCAGTGATGTCCTCTCCATCTCCTCCCAGGTAACTGTGTTGTCCTCAAGCCCTCCGAGATGACCAAGAATGTTGAGAAACTCATGGTTGAGGTGCTGCCCGGTTACCTGGATAGAGTAAGGAGCAGTTCCTGCCCTTATCCCCATCCCTGCCCCTCGGCCATGGTGTTCCCAACCCTGCCTTGCCCTCACCAGCGCTGCTCTGAGGTGCTGCTGTACCTCCTTCCTCTGGTGTCCACGTGCCTGGGATGCTGTTGGTGGGGATGGGGACACAGCAGACATGGGTGATGCTGACCGTGGGGGACCCTTCCTCTTGCGCTGCAGGACTGCTTTGCCGTGGTGACCGCTGGTGCTCAGGAGACCAGCAGGCTGCTGGAGAACAAGTTTGACTACATCTTCTTCACTGGTATGTCCAGAGCAGAGCCTGCTGTGGGGTTGGTGCAACGTGGGATGGAGTTCCCACTGAACCCCTTGCTGGTCCTCACCTTTCCCATCCATCTGAGTTGCTGGGCAGCATCCCCTTACAGGTCCGCTGTGAAGATAGGGCTCATTGTGTTGGGGATGTGGTGTCAGGATGTCCGAGCATCTCATAGCCATAACTGGGGTTCGTAATGGTTGAACTGGGGGGATGCCACGGTGGGGATGGAGGTGAGGGCTCAGCATCCACCGAGGTGGGTGCAGGACAGGAGTGGGGCTCGATACGGCCCTCCCGGCTCCTCATCGAATGGTTTGGGTTGGAAAGGACCTTGGGCTCATCCCTTCCCAAGGAAGTGAAGGCCATGGCTTGGGCTGTAGCACAGAACCACGGAACCCACCGGGCTGGAAAAGACCTTTGAGACCACCACGTCCAAGCTTACCCCAGCACTGCCAAGGCCACCCCTAACCCACGGCACTGAGGACACGGCTTGGGGACGCTGGGTTTGTGCCCATGCTGGGCTCCCACCTCAATCCCTGCCCGCAGGCAGCCCCTCCGTGGGGAGGGTGGTGATGGCAGCCGCTGCCCAGCACCTCACCCCGGTGACGCTGGAGCTGGGGGGCAAGAACCCCTGTTACGTGTCGGAGCCGTGCGACGTGCGCAGCGTGGCCCGGCGGGTGGCCTGGGGCCGCTTCTTCAACGCGGGGCAGACCTGCGTGGCCCCCGACTACGTGCTCTGCACCCTGGAGCTGCAGGAGAAGCTGCTGCCCGCCCTGCGCGAGGCCATCACCGAGTTCTATGGCTCCAACCCTCGGGAATCGCCCGACTTCGGGCGCATCGTGGACGAGAAGGAATTCCAGCGGCTGCGGGCGCTGCTGCGCAGCGGGAGGGTGGCCATCGGCGGGCAGGCGGAGGAGGAGGAGCGGTACATCGGTGAGGGCTCCGTCTGCACCCGTGTGCTTGGGTCCTGGGGAGGGTCCCGTCAGTGATGGACGGAGGGGACACTCCGGGAAGGCTCCCATGGGAGTCCTGGAGCTGGACGCGTCGGCCTTCCGCAGAGGAGCGATGGGGTTTGGGAGAGGAGCAAGGCGTCCCCTCCAACCTCTGCTGCCTTGGGGTGGTTCCTCCGCAGCTCCGACCGTCCTGGCGGACGTGCAGCCCTCGGATCCCGTCATGCAGGAGATCATCCTCGGCCCCATCCTGCCCATCGTCGGCGTGGCCGGTGTGGATGAAGCCATTGACTTCATCAACAGCCGCGAGCGGCCGCTGGCCGTCTATGTCTTCTCCTCTGATGACAAGGTATGGCCCAGGGGCTGTGCTCGCCCCATGCGTGCAGGTCGGACCTGCTGCCCCTTGTCCAACCTGGTGGATTCTATGGTGTTAAAGCAGGCTCCTCCTGCAAAGCTTTGGTTCGGAGCAGCCAGGCCGGGTGGTGGGGAAGGGTTGGGGCTGGAAGCAGGCTCCGAGCCTCACCTCCACCTCCTCTGCTCCCCTCCCAGGTGGTGGCCCAGGTCCTGGAGCGCACGAGCAGCGGTGGCTTCTGCAGCAACGACACCCTCATGCACATGATCCTGACCTCGCTGCCCTTCGGTGGCATCGGTAGGTGCAAACCCCGTCCATCCCTGCTCGCTGCGGGCTGAGCCTCAGAGCATCCCTGGCACTGCTCAAGGCCAGGTTGGACACAGGGGCTTGGAGCAAGCTGCTCCAGTGGAAGGGGTCCCTGCCCGTGGCAGGGGGTTGGAGCTGGACGGGCTTGAAGCTCCCTTCCAACCCAACCCATTCCATGATTCCACTTGGGCATCCATGTAGACCACCTCCATGGTCCTCTTCAAATCACTCCCTCGGGAAGCTCGGCCACGGCCAGCGCTCCCCACGATGCTGGTGTTAGAAAGCAGCTGGATGAAGACGTGGTGCCAGGCACAAGTCTCCATCACCGGCTGCCCCGAGAGGGGAGCTTAAGTATCATAGAATCCCAAAGTGGTTTGGGCTGGAAGGGACCTTAAAGCTCATCCCATCCCATTCCAACCCCGACCCCTTCCACCGGAGCAGCTTGCTCCAAGCCCCTGTGTCCAACCTGGCCTTGAACACTGCCAGGGATGGGGCAGCCACAGCTTCTCTGGGCACCCTGTGCCAGCGCCTCAGCACCCTCACAGAGGGTCTTGTACCAGCTGGTGGTGAAGGGGACGGGATGAAGGATGCCCCCATCCAGCCGCCTGGAGCCCTGTGCTCTGTGTTCCAGGCTGCAGCGGGCTGGGCAAGTACCACGGCAAGTTCACCTTCGACACCTTCAGCCACCAGCGCGGGTGCCTGCACCGCAACATGGGCCTGGAGGCCCTCAACGCCCTGCGCTACCCCCCCTACAGCCAGCACAGGTTGGGCATCGTCTGCGCTGCCTCCGGGGTGAAGCACAAGGGCTCCTGCACCCTGCTCTGAGCATCCCCTATCCAGTCTCCTCCCTCCATGCTGGGACTGGTGCCCATGGGCCATGAAAGGTGTTGCCTTCCATCCGGTGAGGCCTGTGTGCTCCCATCCCATCCCATCCCATCCCATCCCATCCCATCCCATTCAATCCCATCCCATTCCATTCAATCCCATTCCATCCTGTCCCGTTCCACCCCATCCCATCCCATTCCATCTGATCCCATTAAAACTCATTCCATCCCATCTCATCCCATTCCATCCTATCCCATTCCATCCTATCCTATCCCACTCCATCAGCCTATGGGATGGAGATGGGGGTCAGGAAGAGGGAAGAACTGGGAGGGTGCACTGGGAGCTGGCGGGGTTGCAGGAGGGACTGGAGGGGTCCCACAGGTCCCCGTTTCCATCACTGCCGGCCGTGGCAGAGGGGCAGGAGGGCTCTGGGTGATGCCCTTTGCCAGTTCACCCTTTGGGAAGGTCCACAGCAACGTTCTGCTCCCAAAGCCTGGAGCTGGGCTCATCCCAGTCCCCTTTGCCCCCTGTCTCGCATGGATTGGGCAGGTTCAAGCCATTCCCCTTGGCCTGTGCCTACAGGCCCTTGTCCCAAGCCCCTCTCCAGGTTTCCTGCAGCCCCTTTAGGCACTGGAAGACCGGACCTAAAGGGGTTTCTTTATCCCTACATCCCAGAGGGATGCTCCTGTCCCATCCCATCCTTTCCACGGCACCAGCAGAGCCATGGGGCTGCCCCTGTGAGCCCGATATTGATTCCTGGCGTGGTTTTGACCATGTTGGGCTCATGCTGCCATGGGGCAGCACCTCTATGGGGAGCATCACGGTGCCAGCATGCCCAGCAGAGCACAAGAACCCCTGTGACGGGCAGAATATGGCCCGGGTGCTGCTGGAGATGCAATGGGATAACCCCAGCATCTGGGAGGGGAGGGATCTTCAGGCGCATCCTCAGTGTCCACCACCTCCATCTGCAGCCAGGAGCTGGGTCCTGTCCTCCTGCAGAGCTGGGCTGGCAGCAGCAGCAGCAGCACCCTCAGGTCCCATCCTGCAGGGAGGTTTAAGTCCGATCCAAGCACTCCCTTCCCAATGGTGGGATGGGAAGGAGAATGGGAAAACCAAGGGATGAGAGAACAGGTTAGTGAAGGAGCACGGTAAATAGAGGGATAAAAGGGAATGGGGAAACACAGCAAGGGATGCACAGCACCCGAGCAGCTCCCAGCCAATCCCCGGCCCCCATTTCTACCCTGGGCATGGCATGTATGGAGTATCCAGTATGGAATATCCCTTGGCATAGCTCAGGGCAGGTTCCTGTCTCTGCTCCCACCTCCCTGGCAGAGCAGGAGGGGCTGGAACCTCCTCGATCAGGGCTCAGTGCTGCTGAGCACCACCCAGTGACAAAGTCTGTTATCGGAGCGGTTCTGAGCCTGAAGCCAAAGCCCAGCCCTGCGCTGATGCTGGGATCATGGAACCATGGCATGGGCTGGGATGGGATGAAGGCAGTGTTGGGATGGGGCAGCCACAGCTTCTCTGGGCACCCTGTGCCAGCGCCTCAGCACCCTCACAGTGACGAATTCCTGCCTTACATCCAATCTGATCCCCCCTGTTTCAGCCTGAACCCATCACCCCTTGTCCCATCACTCCCGTCCCTGATGCAGAGCCCTCTCCAGCATCCCTGTAGCCCCCTTCAGACACTGAAGCTGCTCTGAGCTCTCCACGCACCCCAATGGTCCCATCCTGGCTCCATCCAGGAGCTGCTCCAGCCCCCGAGCATCCTCGTGGCTCCCCTGCGCAGCACCTCCGGGTCCTTGCACTGGGGGCATCGGGACCCTGCCGGGGGCTCCACCGCCACCCTAGGGCCGGTCCCGGGGGTACCGGTGCCCCCGACCCCCCTCCAAGGGCTGCAGCGGGGCAGCGCTCGGTGCCCTCCCCCGGACCTCCGGTCCCCGGTATCGAACCCGCGACCCCGGCACCCACCGCCACCGCCGCCGCCATCAAGCCCCGCCCCAGGCTTAGCCCCGCCCCTCCTCACCCCCCACAACCAATCACCGCTTCCCCCCAGCCGCCTCGCAGCCCAATCCACGGCTCCCTCCTCCTACCCCTCCCTTTGAGCGGCGGGGCTCAGCCAATGGGAAGCGAGCTTAGCCCCGCCCAATGTCCTTCGCCGCCGCTCCGCGCTTGCGCAGTGCGGCCCGGGGGCGGCCGGGGTCAGGACGGCGGGGTCCTTGCGGGAGGTGAGCGGGGGGGCACCGGGACCGGGAGCTCATGGAGCCCCCCCGGTGTCCATGGAGGGCTATGGAGGTCCATGGAGGTCCATGGAGGTCCATGGAGGTCCATGGAGGTCTATGGAAGGCCCCGGAACCCTCTTAGGGCAGGGGACACACGGCCTTGGGCCTGGTCCCAGCGGGGGGTGGCGGCTGGGCCTTGTGGTGCTGTGGGGCAGGGGAGGCTGAATGGGGGCGTTAAAGGGGTACGGGGGGGGGGGACGACGACACACGTCCGGGGCCTTTATAGAACATGGAGGGAGTCAGGACCTGTGGCGGGGGGGGGGGGGGGGGGAAAGACCGCAGGGTCCCTTTGGGGTGGGTGTCGGGGTCCTTGGGTTCATTGGGAGGGGGTGGGGGGGGGTGGGGTGACAGTGCCTGAGTCCTTTATGGGGGGGGGAGCAGGACCCCCGTGTCCCTTGGGGAGGGTTTGGGGGGGGTGACAGTGCCCTGAGTCCCTTGGGTGGGGGGCAGAACGCCTGGGTTCGTTAAGGGCGGGTGTTGGGACCTCTGGGGGGGGGGTATCTTATTGTCTTGTATGGGGAGAAGACCCCTGGGTTGCCTGGGGGGTGTTAGGACCCCTGTGTCCTTTGTTGGGGGGTCCACGACCCATGGGTCCCTTTGGGGGGGTGTCAGGACCCCTGGGGGTGGGTGGTGGGGTACCCCAGTCCCTTATGGGGGGGCAGGACCCCTGGGTCCCTTGAGGGGAGGGTACTGGGAGCCCTGGGTGCTGGAGGGGGTGTGTGTGAATATCTTGGTTCCTTATGGGGGCTGAGAACCCCTGGGTGCCATGGGGAGGGTGGGAGGGGAACAAGCACTCTGGGTCTCGGGGGGGGGGGGGGGATAAGCCTGGTTCTCTTATGGGGGGGCCGGGGGGAGGACCCGTGGGTCCCTTATGGGAACTGGGGTCGGGGTGGGGGGGTCACAGTCGGTGGTGAGCACCAGGCCAGGCCCCTCTGTGGCTGCAGGACCGGACATGGCTGCGCTGCGCTTGGTGTCCCGGGCTGCCCGCCCAGGTGAGGCCACACCGGGACCCCCATCACCCCCCCATCAACCCCCTTGTCCCCACCAACTGCCCTTGACCTTTGTCTCTTCCCCCCCCCCCCCCCCCCCCCAGGCCCTACAGCCCCTCTGGGCTACCTGCGCCTGCTCGGGACCACCCCCCCTAGGAGCTGCTACAGTGAGTAAGGGACAGGCTGCCCCATCCCTGCCCCACTGCAGCCCCTCCGTGGGGTGGGCACAGCTCCCTTCTCCCCACAGAGTACGTCAACATCCAGGAGCCAGCCATGGACATGCGCTCCATCACCGACCGCGCGGCACAGACCCTGCTCTGGACCGAGCTCATCCGAGGTGAGGCCTGGAGCTGCCTCGGCAGGGAACAGAACTGTCGGAGCCTCGGCACTGGGGAGCAGATCCAGAGGAGGCTCAGGGGCTGGAGCAGCTCCTGGATGGAGCCAGGCTGGGGGCACTGGAGGAGAGAAGGCTGCATGGAGGCATTGACCCTATGGAAACCAAGTTTCCGTCTCCCCTTTGAGGGCAGCTGGGGATGGACGTTGTGTCTGCAGCACGTCTTCAGCTGCTCTCCTACAGCAGCATCGAGAGCTGGCCATAGCCAAGCTTCCCAAGGAAGTGCTCTGAAACGGAGCCTTGAGATGGTCCGGGTGGATGCCCAATGGAATCATAGGCATGGAATGGTTTGGGATGAAGGGACCTTGAAGCTCATTCAGTTCCAACCCCGACCCCTTCCACTGGAGCAGCTTGCTCCAAGCCCCTGTGTCCAACCTGGCCTTGAACACTGCCAGGGATGGGGCAGCCACAGCTTCTCTGGGCACCCTGTGCCAGCGCCTCAGCACCCTCCCAGGGAAGAGCTTCTGCCTAAGAGCTCAGCTCAGTCTCCTCTGACAGGTTAAAGCCTTCATGGGGGTTGTGGGGAACCTCCTTCTACAGCCAAACATGAAAGGAAAGTGCATGTCACACAGATTCCCACCAGAGATCAGCCAGATCCCCTACAGGCCCTTGTCCAAGCCCCTCTCCAGGTTCCCTGCAGCCCCTTCAGGCACTGGAGCTGCTCCAAGGTCTCTCCTTCAGGAGCCTTCTCTTCTCCAGGCTGACCAGATGATGCTTGAGTGATGTTTCCATGAAGCTCTATGCACCCCCCCCACCATGGGCCACCAGCCCCCACCCCGTGCATGCCATAACCCATCTCCTCCTCTCCCAGGCCTGTCCATGACCCTGAGTTACCTGTTCCGGGAGCCAGCCACCATCAACTACCCCTTTGAGAAGGGCCCCCTGAGCCCCCGCTTCCGGGGGGAGCACGCTCTGCGCCGCTACCCCTCCGGGGAGGAGAGGTGCATCGCCTGCAAGCTCTGCGAGGCCATCTGCCCGGCACAGGTCCAGCCTTCCTCCTCCTCCTCCCCATGGGGCGCTGGGTCCCCCTTCAGGGGTGACACCGGGCCCCCCTCATCCACCACAGGCCATCACCATCGAGGCCGAGCCCCGCGCTGACGGCAGCCGCCGCACCACCCGCTACGACATTGACATGACCAAGTGCATCTACTGCGGGTTCTGCCAGGAGGCCTGTCCTGTGGATGCCATCGTGGAGGTGAGGACGGGGGTCTGGGGGTCGGGCTGGGGGGCATCAGAGCCAGCATCTCCTTGGAGCAGCTCCAGTGCCTAAAGGGGCTGCAGGAAACCTGGAGAGGGGCTTTGGGCAAGGGCCTGTAGGGACAGGCCAAGGGGAATGGCTTGAACCTGCCCGAGGGGAGACTGAGCTGAGCTCTTAGGCAGAAGCTCTTCCCTGGGAGGGTGCTGAGGTGCTGGTACAGGGTGCCCAGAGAAGCTGTGGCTGCCCCATCCCTGGCAGTGTTCAAGGGCAGGTTGGACACAGGGGCTTGGAGCAAGCTGCTCCAGTGGAAGGGGTCGGGGTTGGACCTGGAGGAGCTTTAAGCTCCCTTCATCCCATCCCATTCCATGATCTCCCACCCTGGCAGGGTCCCAACTTCGAGTTCTCCACGGAGACCCACGAGGAGCTGCTCTACAACAAGGAGAAGCTGCTCAACAACGGCGACAAGTGGGAGGCCGAGATCGCTGCCAACATCCAGGCTGATTATCTGTACCGGTGACATCCGGGCCTCCCTGCTCCCCAATAAAGGGTCTGGGGGGGGATCTGCCACCCCCCCACCCCCAGCACTGGGGCCACCAGCCCCTTCCTAACCCAGAGCTCTGGTTTCCTCCATTCATTCCCAGCGCTGGAGCAGGGAATGGGGGGAACCTCTCGGCCACATAGAGCGGATCAGGACCTCCCAGGGGTCCTGGGCATCACTGCTGGAGCAGGGCCTGGAGCCCGAGTGTGATGGGGAAGGGCTGAGGGACCGGGGGGTTCAGTGCGGAGAAGAGAAGGCTCAGGGGGGACCTGATGGCTGCCTGCAAGTGCCTGAGAGGAGGATGGAGCCAGGAGGGGCTGGGCTCTGCTCCCAAGGAACAAGGGATGGGACAAGAGGAAACGGCCTCAAGCTGCCCCAGGGCAGGTTTAGATGGAGCTGAGGAACAATTCCTGCCCCAGAGGGTGCTCAGGCATTGGAACAGGCTGCCCAGGGCAGGGCTGCAGGCACCGGCCCTGGGGGTGCTTAGAGGATGTGTGGATGTGGCTCTTGGGGCCATGGGTTAGGGGTGGCCCTGATGACCTTAAAGGCCCTTTAAACCCGGTTGGTTCTGTGGTCCCCCACCTCGTGCTGGGGCTTAGGGATGGAGGGGAGGAAGAGGCGCGGGACGGGGCGGGCTCAGTGGGAGGGGACGCCCCTGCCTGCACCCGGCCTTGTTCCCAACCCTCTCCTTCCCGAGGGAGGGTTCCCCCGCTCCGCAGCGGGGCCCGGGTCCTAGTTCCGTGCCCCCGGGGCTCCCGGCTCCGACCGGTCCCGCTCTTGTGGGGGGGCTTCCCCCACCTCCGGGTCCGGTCCCTCCCCACGGCCGGGCCCTTCCTGGGGAAGAGGAAGTGCGGGGCCCGCTGCTGCCCCGCGCTGCCGGGTAGGGGCGGGCGGGCGGCTCCGCTCCGGCTCCGGGTGAGGGGGGTCCCGTCGGGGAGGGGAGGGGAAGAGGGGGGGGTTCGGTCCCCGTGGCCGTGACTCAGTGGGGCCGGGGCGGGGGGACGGGAATGGGAAGGGTTTTGCAGTGCGGAGCCGCGCCTGTCCCAGCGCTTCCCGAGGGATCCGCGCCGGGACGGCTCCGCTCTGCGATCCCAGACCCTGCCGGTACCCGGTTAACGTCCAACCCTGCCGGTACCCCGTTAACATCCAACCCTGCTGATCCCCCGTTAACATCCAACCCTGCTGATCCCCCGTTAACATCCAACCCTGCTGATCCCCCGTTAACATCCAACCCTGCTGATCCCCCGTTAACATCCAGCCCTGCTGGTACCCTGTTAACATCCAGCCCTGCTGATCCCCCGTTAACATCCAACCCTGCCGGTACCCTGTTAACATCCAGCCCTGCTGATCCCCCGTTAACATCCAACCCTGCTGGTACCCTGTTAACATCCAACCCTGCTGATACCCCGTTAACATCCAACCCTGCTGATCCCCCGTTAACATCCAACCCTGCCGGTACCCCGTTAACATCCAACCCTGCCGGTACCCTGTTAACATCCAACCCTGCCGGTACCCCGTTAACATCCAACCCTGCTGGTACCCCGTTAACATCCAACCCTGCTGATCCCCCATTAACATCCAACCCTGCCGGTACCCCGTTAACATCCAACCCTGCTGATCCCCCATTAACATCCAACCCTGCCGGTACCCCGTTAACATCCAACCCTGCTGGTACCCCGTTAACATCCAACCCTGCTGGTACCCCGTTAACATCCAACCCTGCCGGTACCCCGTTAACATCCAACCCTGCTGATCCCCCGTTAACATCCAACCCTGCCGGTACCCCGTTAACATCCAGCCCTGCTGGTACCCCGTTAACATCCAACCCTGCCGGTACCCCGTTAACATCCAGCCCTGCCGGTACCCCGTTAACATCCAACCCTGCCAGTACCTGGTTAACATCCAGCCCTGCCGGTACCCCGTTAACATCCAACCCTGCTGGTACCCCGTTAACATCCAGCCCTGCTGATCCCCCGTTAACATCCAACCCTGCCGGTACCCGGTTAACATCCAACCCTGCCGGTACGCCGTTAACATCCAACCCTGCCGGTACCCCCTTAACATCCAACCCTGCTGATCCCCCGTTAACATCCAACCCTGCCGGTACCCCGTTAACATCCAACCCTGCTGATCCCCTGTTAACATCCAACCCTGCTGATCCCCCGTTAACATCCAACCCTGCTGATCCCCCATTAACATCCAACCCTGCCGGTACCTGGTTAACGTCGAACCCTGCCGGTACCCTGTTAACATGCAACCCTGCCGGGGTACCCCATTAACATCCAGCCCTGCTGATCCCCCGTTAACATCCAACCCTGCCGGTACCCCCTTAACATCCAACCCTGCTGATCCCCTGTTAACATCCAACCCTGCCGGTACCCCGTTAACGTCGAACCCTGCTGATCCCCCGTTAACATCCAGCCCTGCTGGAACCCCCTTAACATCCAACCCTGCTGATCCCCCGTTAACATCCAACCCTGCTGGTACCCCGTTAACATCCAGCCCTGCTGGAACCCCGTTAACATCCAGCCCTGCTGGAACCCCCTTAACATCCAACCCTGCTGATCCCCCTTTAACATCCAACCCTGCTGATCCCCTGTTAACATCCAACCCTGCCGGTACCCCGTTAACATCCAGCCCTGCTGGAACCCCCTTAACATCCAACCCTGCTGATACCCCGTTAACATCCAACCCTGCCGGTACCCCGTTAACATCCAACCCTGCTGATCCCCCGTTAACTTCCAACCCTGCCGGTACCCCGTTAATATCCAACCCTGCCGGTACCCCGTTAACATCCAACCCTGCTGATACCCCGTTAACATCCAACCCTGCCGGTACCCCGTTAACATCCAACCCTGCTGATACCCCGTTAACATCCAACCCTGCCGGTACCCCGTTAACATCCAACCCTGCTGATACCTCATTAACATCCAACCCTGCCGGTACCCCGTTAACATCCAACCCTGCCGGTACCCCGTTAACATCCCACCCCATCTCCATTCCTGCTGTCCTGTCCCCCCTTACACCCCAACCCTCACCCATCTCCATCCCTCTGCACTCCCCCGCTTAGTCCTGACCCCACTGCTGCCCCCCGCAGGCGGGAGCCGTGTCCGGTCTCAGCGCAGCCCCGCTGCCGGCTGTGGGGCCGCCATGGGGTCCCTGTTCCGCAGCGAGGAGGTCTGCCTGGCCCAGCTCTTCCTCCAGTCCGCCTCGGCCTACAGCTGCGTCAGCGAGCTGGGCGAGCGGGGGCTGCTCGAGTTCAGGGATGTGAGTGCGGCAAGGGGCTCATGGCGGGGGGGTTGGGGTGCCTGGGGTGCAGTGGGGCTGGTTGGGGTGGTTTGGGATGCTCTGGGTGCAGTGGGGTTGGTTGGGGTGGTTTGGGATGCCCTGGGTGCAGTGGGGTTGGTTGGGGTGGTTTGGGATGCTCTGGGTGCAGTGGGGTTGGTTGGGGTGGTTTGGGGTGCCCTGGGTGCAGTGGGTTTGGTTTAGGGGTGCCCTGGGTGCAGTGGGTTTGGTTTGGGGTGCCCTGGGTGCAGTGGGGTTGGTTGGGATGGTTTGGGATGCTCTGGGTGCAGTGGGGTTGGTTTGGGGTGTCCTGGGTGCAGTGGGGTTGGTTGGGGTGGTTTGGGATACCCTGGGTGCAGTGGGTTTGGTTTGGGGTGTCCTGGGTGCAGTGGGGTTGGTTGGGGTGGTTTGGGGTGTCCTGGGTGCAGTGGTTTTGGTTTGGGGTGCCCTGGGTGCAGTGGGGTTGGTTGGGGTGGTTTGGGGTGCCCTGGGTGCAGTGAGGTTGGGCTGTGTGGTTTGGATGCCATGGATGCGGGGACAGCAGGGTTCATACTTTGGGGTGCCCTGTGTGCAAGGGGCTGTTTGGGTGCCCTGGGGTGCCAGAGGTCCTGCAGGCAGCAGCACAGCCCTGGGCCAGGGGTGCTGGTGCCATCAGCCCCTCTGTGTCCCCTTGGGGCCATGCCGTGACCGTGTCCCCACAGCTGAACCCCCATGTGAGCCCCTTCCAGCGCCGCTTCGTGGGCGAGGTGCGGCGCTGCGAGGAGATGGAGAAGACCTTCAGTGAGTGATGGGGATGCTGCATGGGGGGGGGAGTGTGACCCAAACCCCATCCAACCCCATGGGGTCATGGGATGGGTTGGAATGAAGGGAATCTAAAGCTCACCCAGCTCCAACCCTGACCCCTTCCACTGGAGCAGCTTGCTCCAAGCCCCTGTGTCCAACCTGCCCTTGAACACTGCCAGGGATGGGGCAGCCACAGCTTCTCTGGGCACCCTGTGCCAGCGCCTCAGCACCCTCCCAGGGAAGAGCTTCTGCCCAAGAGCTCATCTCAGTCTCCCCTCGGGCAGGTTCAAGCCATTCCCCTTGGCCTGTCCCTACAGGCCCTTGTCCCAAGCCCCACTTCAGGTTTCCTGCAGCCCCTTCAGGCACTGGAGCTGCTCTCAGGTCTCCCCTTCAGGAGCCTTCTCTTCTCCAGGCTGCCCCAGTCCAGCTCTCTCAGAGCAGAGCTGCTCCAGCTCCCTTTTATCCCCATGGCCTCCTTCAATCTCCCTCCAACCCCTCCAGCCGCATCCCCCTTACACTGGGGGTCCCCCAGAATGGGTTGGGATGCAGGGACCTTAAAGCCCATCCCATCCCATCCCATCCCATCCCATCCCATCCCATCCCATCCCATCCCATCCCAACCCATCCCATCCCATCCCAACCCATCCTATCCCAACCCATCCCATCCCATCCCAACCCATCCCATCCCATCCCATCCCATCCCATCCCATCCCATCCCATCCCATCCCAACCCATCCCATCCCATCCCATCCCATCCCATCCCATCCCATCCCATCCCATCCCAACCCATCCCATCCCATCCCATCCCATCCCAACCCATCCCATCCCATCCCATCCCATCCCAACCCCTTCCCCTAGAGCACCTTGCTCCAAGCCCCTGTGTCCGCCCTGCCCTTGAGCCCTGCCAGTGTCGGGGCAGCCGCAGCGCCCTCAGCAGCGCCCCCTCCCGTCCCGCAGCGTTCCTGCGCCAGGAGCTGCTCGGTGCGGGCCGGGAGCCGGGCCCGGTGC